CCCTAAACCCTAAACCGTGGCTTTAGGGATTCGGGCTTAGGGCCTGAACGGGCAGGGGGTGTAGGTTTGAGCATGTAAGGGTCTCCGCACCCGGAGGTCCCAGGGTTTATATTCGTGTGGGTGCCAGGGTTCAGGCGTGTTGGGATTATATTGCTTCGAGAAGTTGAACCCATAGGGTTCAAAGTGTCATCGTTCACTTGTCGGGTATCTGCTGGGAAGCTGGCTTTTGAATCGAACGAGATGATGTGGGAGTTTAGGTTATGGTTCGAGGTGTATAGTGCGGAACTCGGGTGCGACAAGGTGTGGCCTGTCAAAAACGCGACCTTCCCACAGCCAAGCCTGTTGCAAATCCCTACAAAGTCGTGAAACCTGCACAGCTCCCTAGAGAGGTCGTATCCCCTGTAACCCTAAACCCTAATGCCTACAAGTCCTGCAGTCATCTGTCTGCAGGGAGCGGCTCTTGCCGCGGGAAGGGTGGCAAAGTGCAGCTCGTCCCAGAGTTAATGCTGGGCGGACCTGGGTCTCAGTTTGGGGTCAGGGTTGAAGGTGCAGGGGTTGCGGATTTTCGGCTTGGGGCCGGTTTAGCTCGCAGAAGTGAGAGATTCGGATGTCTTGAGTACTTCGTCGGGTCTTCCCCAAACCGTCGGCAGGCTGCGGCGTAGAGTGCAGTCAGCTCGTGAGAGCTCCCAACTGCCTGACGCACTGAACCCAGCAGTACTACTGACAGCAGCCCTCATGATAATCCTTGTGGTAGCCCGTAGAGCAGCCCTTGCAGCAACCCTTCTAGTAACCTTTGCAAGCCTGATGTGTGGACCTGCCCATAAACAACAAACCCCAAACCCATAAACCGTAGACACCCATACACCCGTACCCCATAAACCGGTAATTCCATAAACCCTCAACGTCAGGCCTTCGGTGCAGGAAGCGCCCATCTTGGCCGACCGCCTCGGTGTGGAAGAGGCATCAACGGCCTTGGCCAGTACCAGACCACTTCATCATAATGAGGTGTTTCGGGTTCACTGCTTGGGTTTAGGTTTAAGGTTTACGGTTTTGGTGCTGTAGCCAATTCGTCATTAGCCAGTAAGCGTGAGCAATAAATCGTCGTCGTCATCATTGTTGTTTCAGCTGCCGATCACCAAGGCCCAGTAACTTAAGCCCAGAACTCAAACCCTAATCGCCGAACCTCATCCCCGAAACCCTGAACCCGAAGCCTCAAGCCCTAAACCCTAAACCCTAGCGCTTCCACAGCGCACCCGCTAAAGTTGCTGGCAGTCGCAGTATTTCGGACTGGTTTCCTGCGTCGAAAGTTAGTTGCCCCGTCGATTTCACAAGTTTCTGAAGCGATTCTGCTTCAGGAAGTGCCCCAGCATGAGGAGCAGTGTTCTCATGCTCCCGTTGTGATGAAAGC